GCTGAAATTATACTTTAGCTCCCCCTTTTGCAGGTGGCAGTTTATTAATTTTAACATCTATAAGGCAGTTTCAGATGCACTTTGACTTTAGAATAGTTAAAGTACAAAATTATTTGGATGAAGACAACTATAAAAGGCTGAAATGAAGATATGAAATCCAATAAAATTGCATGTAAGAGTATTGGGGTTTGCCCTTGATTTATTTTCTTGTATTCCTTCCAGTTAAACTGATTTCCTCATGTTGTTTCTGGATTAGAGCCAGAATCAACTTTGCCTGTTTCTAATCAAATAATGGAGAAGGATTTAGAGATTCTGACTTCAGTTAGAAGTTCCTGGGAGGCTGTGTCTGGACTGAGCCTAGCTGAGGGCCGATTCATCTTGACTTGAGGTAAGTTATCTACACTCTTGACTGCACTGTAGTAATGCTGACTTTTTTCATGAGAATGAATGACAGTGGTCATTACTGAAAAAATAACTATGGGCCTTTGAGAGATATTGGAGTGATTGACAATAAGGCAGATCTGCACTTTGGAGGAGAGATTTCAAATTTAAGTAGCTTCCAGTCATTTTATATTTTGAGTGAGTTGGATGGCAGTTCAAAGTAAAACTTTCTATTTCAACCTACAAAAGAAAAACCAGAACAGACCACATTGTGATCTGGGTTTCCCAAATGCTTTTTCTTTGCTTCAGCTATTCAGAGATCAAATGTGTTTATATTTTTTAAGCTTTTTTAAAAATATAAATTCTTAATATAAATAACAAGGATATAGTTCTATTCCATTTTCAGAAAATGATGACAACTCTGGAAAAAGCAGGATAGCAAGGGTATCTCAGGCTGTGCCTAGGGGTAAAATTTTAACTGTCTATATCAAGGTTGTAGCTCATGTGTGACTGCTAACTTAGGGAGGCAGAGGCAGGTGGATCTCTGTGAGTTCAAGGCCAGCCTGGTCTACAGATTGAGTTCCAGGACAGCCTCTAAAGCAATACAGAGAAATCCTGTCTTGAAACTCCCACTCCTCCCCCCCAAAAAAAAAGAAAAGAAAAGAAAACACATTGCTGCTGGGCAGTGGTGACACATACATTTATTTATTTATTTATTTATTTATTTATTTATTTTGGTTTTTTGAGACAGGATTTCCCTGTGGCTTTGGAGGCTGTCCTGGAACTCAATCTGTAGACAAACAAACAAAAATCCCACATTGCTTTAAATAACTTTTCCCTTCTTTTAAATTTATTCTTTTTAATTTCATTGAAAGTACCCTCCCTGTACTCCTCCAGGTTGCTCCCACCTCCCTTCCCATCTGGATCCACTCCCTCTCCATCCTTCATTAGAAAACAAACAGCCTTCTAAGGATAGGTATAGTATGATAAAACAAAAACGAACACATTGGAGTTGGACAAGACAAACAGAAGGAAAAGGTTCCAAGAGAAGGCACAGGAAACAGAGACCCAGTTCTTTGCACACCCAGGAATCCCATAAAAACACTAAACTGGAGGCTATAATATATATGCTAAGGACCTGGTGTGGCCCCATGCAGGCCTTGTGCATGCTGTCTCAGTTTGTGAGCTCATACATGCTTTGATAGCATTAACTTTAAAAGACACTCCTTCCTTGGTGAACTCCTTGCCCTCTGGCTCTTACAGTCTTTCTGCTTCCTCTTCTTCAGGGTTCCCTGAGCTCTGAGGGGACAGATTTGTTGAAGGCATCCCATTTAGGGCTGAGTATTCCAAGGTTTTTCACTCTCTGCATACTGACTGACTGTGGGTCTCTACATCTGTTCCCATCTACTGCAGAAGGAAACTTCCTGATGATGGTTGAGCAAGGCACTGATCCGATTCACTGGCTGGAGTCCCTTCTTTTAACTTTATTTTACCTTCTATCCCCTCATACTGGCCCATTCAAACATAGCAGTTTAAAATCTTTATAGGTTATTAACATAATTTGTTTTACGGTTCTATTTATAAAAGGCATGTATTAACCATAGCACATTTTATTTCTAAAGTTAAACATTTTGCCTTTAAGTTTGATGCAACAGAATTCTTTAAGTTTTAAAACTGCTAGTCAGAAATGGGGCAAGATGGGTTGGAGAGATGGCTCAGAGGTTAAGAGCACCGACTGCTCTTCCAGAGGTCCTGAGTTCAATTCCCAGCAACCACATGGTGGCTCACAACCATCCATAATGAGATCTGGTGCCCTCTTCTGGTGTGCAGATATACATGGAATGTTGTGTATGTAACAATTAAATAAAATCTTAAAAAAAAAAAAAAGAAAGAAAGAAAGAAATGGGGCATGATGACACATGCCAGCAATACAGCATTTGGGAGGCAGAAGCAAGAGGATTATTGCCAGTCCAGTCTAGTTGATACTAGGAGTTCCAGGTCAACCAGAGCTATGTAGTGAGACCCTGCCTCAAAAAAAGGCACACACACACACACACACACACACACACACACACACACACACACACACGGGGCAATGAATTAAAATGTATAGCCTTAAAACTATTCTGGGAACTGAACCAAGAGTCTTCTTCATGCAGTGCATATTCTACCACTGATCTACATCCCTACCCTCAGCAAAATAATTCATAGGGAATAATACAGGCTACCAGAGAGCAGCTTTTTGAAGATAATTTCAAGGGATGATTAATTTTATAATAAATTGAAAGTATAATGATTTATAATTCAAAATACCTAAAGCAAAATTACTACAAAAGAAATTCAACCAATCATGATAAGGGACCAATGATGATAAGGGACATGGTACTCAACATGATATTGGTACAAACTAGATGTGCAGAATTCAGGATGGTTTACTGTCATAAATAAGGAAGACTGGATTTTCATTTAGACTATTTATTTGTGTGAGAGAGACATATATACACAGAGAAAGAGTGACAAAGTCACACACAGAGAGAGACAGAGGCTAACAGAGAGAGAGAGAAAGAGAGAGAGAGAGAGAGAGAGAGAGAGAGATGCAGAGAGAGAGGTATGCAGTTGTGTCTGTGGTTATAGGACAACTTTCTGAGAGCCAGTTTTTTCCTTCCACCTTGAGTTCTGGGAGTGAAATTTAGGTACTAAGGTGTATTGGTTACTTTTCTATTGCTGTGATAACATGCCATGACCAAGGCAACTAATGGAAGAATTTATGGTTCCAGAGTTAGAATACATGATTGTAAGGCAGAGGCAGTAGGTGTAGCTGGAATAATAGCTGAGAGCTCACATCTTGAAACACAAGCAGGAAGCAGAGAGAGCAAACCTGGAATGCCTAGAGGCTTTGAAACTTCCAAGTTTGTCCCCAGTGACACACCTCCTCCTGCAAAGGCACAACTTCTAAACCTACCCAACCAATGTCACCCAGTAAGGACCAACTGTTCAAATGCCTGAGACTACAGGGAGACATTTCTCATCTAAATCATGAATCATGACTTTTTGTAAGTGCTTTTATTTGCTAAGCTATTTCCCTGCCTCAAGGTCATATTTTCAAAGAAAACTCTGTAATATTACCCACCCCAAATTCTTCCATAATGGGTAGAATTACAAATCAGGGAACAAAATTTACAAGACTTAGCATATTCCTGAGAATATGTTTGATAGTCACATTAATATAAACCTTTGAAAAAGATATAATGACATTCTGAAACATCTTTATCTAAAGATCTGCCAGACAAGTGGCTGCTTTTGAGTTGGTAACACTAGTACACCAGAAGACAGAAACCTGTCAAAATGTTGTCATTGGCTTTTACAATGTTTACTACTAAATATTAATGCTAAGCAATATTCCTTTAATTTAGAAGTCCTTGTCTTTTTTTATTAATTTATTTGTTTGTTAATTTATTGTGTGTGTGTGTGTGTGTGTGTGTGTGTGTGTGTGTGGATATGTGCATACCTGCATGTATATAGGTCAGAGGATCTCAGAAGTGGAAGGCATTAAGATCCCTTTTGGGTATTCATTCTCTCCTTCTTTCATGTAGTTCTGAGGATGGAATGCCTATCCTGTGCTTCTTGGCAAGTATCTTTTACCACTGACACATCTTGCTGGTCCCCTAAGCAATATTTATATGAGTTATACAATAAATAATATAATAAATAGTTATATATGCATATAAAAGTATATATGCTGTGAATGCTGGGAATTGAACCTAGGTCCTCTGGAAGAGCAGCCAGTGCTTTTAGCTGCTGAGCCATCTCTCCAGTCTCTTAATTGTTTACATTTTTTAAAAAAGCAGTTTTATCAAATCCATTTATCATTCTCTATACTCTCCCCTCCAATTCCTTTCTTATCCCTTCCACCACTATTCTCTCCCACCGTTATGTGATCTCTCTTTGTTAAACACACTTTTATTATCCCTCTGCTTCAATGTGCCCTAGCCAGGGCTACACAGTGAGACCCTGTCTCAAAAAAAAAAAAAAAAAAAAAAGAAGAAGAAAAAAAGAAAGGAAGGAGGGAAGAAAGAAAGAAAGTGCACACCAGCTTCCTAATATAACTTTCTTCTTCTAAAAATAAAAATAGTCCTCCACTTAGAAATTCCACATCATTTATCTGGTATTCATCCAGCACATGAATGCCCAGAGATCTAGAAATCTAGAAATATTATCTCAAAATTTCTGCAGTGTTGTAAAGTGGGTAGGAATCTCATCTCCACTTTTCAGAACCGGAACTCTTTGGTAAGTTGCCTAAAGTCATACAGTTAAGAACTGTATGACTGAGCCAAAACATGGCCCCAGGTCTGTCTTCCTTCCCTGTCCTTTTCCGCACTCCCAGGAAGCAGCACATTCAAGCCCTCTATGAAACTGGAATCGCTTTGTGTGTCGGTGTTACTGAGCAGGTTCAATTATTCCTAAGCTTTGATGCGGTAGATTCTCATCATTTCGTGTAACAGAAGACTGAATGGGAAGTAGTTGAAACGTTTCTGGGTAGCCCTCATGTCCTTTATCTGAACCCGTTCAGTCTGGTCTCGTGACGAATTCTTTCTCTTGTACTTCTTTCAGTGGGAAGAATGGGGAAGATTCGCAGCTTCGTCCTGGTCACCATTGCTCTGATAATGAGCAGGGAAAGCTGGGTAAGCATCTTGTGCAAACTATTATTATCTATAAGGTCTGCTTAAAGATAGTTTTTTTTTTTTTTTTTTTTTTTTTTTTTTTTTTTTTCCAAAAAACATCGATATTAACTTGCTGCCAAGGAATGGAAAAGTTCTTTGGAAACATGTGGCACATAGTAACACTTAAACACTTTAAAAATAAAAATCAGGATTTACAACAAATCAGTGTTATTTCCTTTTTTACGCCATGTCAGGTGTTCAAAACTGGCCATGGTGGTTAGTATTGGTCTTAGGACAATATTGAACATAATTGGCATACACGACCAAGATTATTTCAATGAGCTTGTATCTCCATTTAGCTATCCCAAAGGACAAAAGACTAACTTACTCAAAGTTCTGAGGGGAAAAAACACACACACCAAAAAAACACACACAAAAAAACCAACTTTCTGGTTGAAATGACATTCTGATGCAGGAGTGGGAGACATAGTTGAATCAAGGATTTATCCGGATTGTTAGTGACATTTCTTTCCTATGAACTGCACATTGCCTTGCAGGCCCTGGAGAATGTGAACTGTTTGCGGGAGCAGGAAAGGCTTCGAGCTCAGGTGCACCAGCTTGAGACCCGCGTCAAACAACAACAGGCCATGATTGCCCAGCTCATGCATGAGAAGGAAGTCCAGTTCCTTGATAAAGGACCAGAGGACAATTTCATTGACCTTGGAGGCAAGAGGCAATATGCAGGTCAAAACTGTTTTTTTCTTAAACGTTTCAACCAGCCGTATCACACACATCTGTATGTAACGACGGTACTAGGTAGTCAGTGACTTTGGGCTTTTTCTTTGTTCAATGTTGTTTCTTAGTTTCTGTTTTCAACTCAGAATCTCACTATACAACTCAGGCTAGCCTGGTGCTTAATTGTCTTCCTCCCTCAGCCTCCTCAGTTGCTGGGATTTCAGGTGTATCCCCCAACCACCCACAATTCACATCTTGCTAAAAAACAAACAAACAAACAAAAAAAAAACAAAAAAAAACTATGCCTATTCCAGTTATAAGCGGCATAACTCACTCCAACAATTTAAAATGTCTTCTTCCATAGCTTACCCTTTTTTCTCTAGTATGTGCCCAGAGGGTGTTTGATATGAATAACAAATATCTGAGAATTTTCATATCTTAATAAAAAAACAGGACAACAGATTGTTAAATATTCACCTAAAATGGCAGATTATAATTGAGAATATTTATGTTTAAACTTTGTCTTTACTCCTTATATGTATGTAGTTTTCCCTTCTGTTTATTTTGAGCTAGACTACAGATGTATATTACCATACCTCGTTTTCCCCTCAATGAAACTCACAATGAAAAATAAATTAATAGAATGAAAGGATAGGAAAAGAAAAACCTCATTTTAACAGAAAATAAGAGTAGTTTTTAAAATATGTCTATTTAATGGTTTGGCTTTTTACCCCTTTTGATTAGGCCAATATTTATGTCCTAGAAGTGAAATGATATTGAACTGTGAGCACAGCATAATTACCACTGCACACATCGCTATTCCCCACAGAAAAAGTCTTTTGGTTTCCTGTACAGATGAAGGGCTTCTGAAAGAGTGAACAGAGACAGTTAGAAACAAAGAGAATGGCCAGGCGGTGGTGGTGCATGCCTTTAATCCTAGCACTCGGGAGGCAGAGGCTAGATCCAGGACATCCTCCAAAGCCACAGAGAAACCCTGTCTTGAAAAAAAATCAAAACCAGAAAGAAAGAAAGAAAGAAAGAAAGAAAGAAAGAAAGAAGGAAGGAAGGAAGGAAGGAAGGAAGAGAATGCTGCCTAGAACTCTTTGTTCACAGTCATCTCTGTGCTGCACATGGATGATGTGTTCTAATTCCTCTGCTTATGAATGTAAGTCTAACTTCATCAATGAACTGGTCACTGTGTAAGGTTTAAAAGGATATCCAATGCATTTAAAATATTTATTACTACAACTAGGGACAAAGGGCTGGGAGAAACCAGTTCTAATAACTGGTGAGCTTCTGAACTTCATAACTGAGAAATATTGTGAGAAAAATACATCTCTGTTGTTACCAATAAGTTAGCAGTATGTTCCTCTGAAGATTTAGGAAACTAATATGCCACAAATGTGATGGAAGTCAGCTTTGGACTAGAAATGTGATACTTTTATATGAAAAAAAATGAACTGAAATGTCACTTAATCTGAGTTTCTCATGTCACAGGATTAACCAGTCTATTTTCTGTCCTTGGTGAGAATCTTAAAAATCTTTTTAGGAGATTTTCAATGTGTTCAGACTTGATGTGAGAGATAAACAAATAGGTTCAAGAAGCATATGCAGGGTGTGTTTTGGGTGGTGGAGTGTAGCCAGTTTGAAATGAATCTATTAGTAATGAGATAGACCCATCCATTGGCAGATGGTATTGTGAAGTAGATTCCTATACCCCTTGGTCATTCATCTGGGTAGTAGGAAGTGAATAGATGAATTTGATAATTTGGAACTTTCATTCTAAATCTTAGAGACACACTGAATACATCAGTCATCGTTGTGTGGCTTTAATGAATGGTAGAAGATGACCATGTTAATGAATAGATTGATTATAGAGGAGGAAACTCAAAGAATTAAGTGTGTCAACTTCAATAATGTCTACATAACTAGAATAATAGATTTTGTTGTACATGTGGCGCATTGAAAGATGTAATTCAGGATAATCCTTCCTCAGGGGCCCTTACTGGTACCAGAGGATCACAGAAGAGTAGTATAGTCTGCAGGACAGCAGAGAATGCCTTGCTAAACAAGGCTGAGTTATGGTTTGCTTAATGTCACATATGGAAAGTGATAGCCATGATTTTGGTTTTAAATGAATGAGTTTCTTAGGTATATAGTAGGTAAAAGTAAAAGATCAAACAGCAAGCAGCATATAGATAGAAGCAGCTGTTTCTGCTATCACAGTGCAAGCCATGACTCTCCCAACAACAAGCTCCTTAAATTGTTCTTTATAAGCTATTTGCTTTTTTAATGTATATTTATGTACTTTTTTATCTGCTTGGTTTCTCCCCCAGGAGTGAGTTGTTTGCTTCTTTGTTTTTTCTTCCATTAAAAGCTCTCCTCAGGAAGTTTAGTTGTGTTTGGCACTTTCTTCTGGAGAAAAAGAAATTTAAAAACCCCAAACTGAAGATGGCATGAAATAAAAACAAACAGAAAGTGTTGGCAGATATCCCCATATTCATGAAGTTTTTCTAAAGCAAGTTAATTAATCGTTTCCATATTTGCCTGGAAAAGAGTTTGAACCTTGTGCATCTTTGCTGTTCGATCTTTGATAGATCAACTATAAACAAGGAGCTCTTTCCTAATGGAAGGGAAATGTGCTGACTTAAAGTCTTCCACAATATACTTAACCACAAAACATAAGCTTTTAAATAACATTGAGTTGACTGGACATGGACATTTTCTTCTTGATCCCATTTATAATCCACAATGCATAAAGAACACTTTGCTTTTGAATCTTGAAAATAAATGCATGAACAAAGCCTAAATTACTAAAAAGACCAACAGTAGTGCACAATTGAAGTCAGCCTTGTGAAGTCTATTTTTTCTTAAGATTCCCACTGCCCACCCAACTTAATTAATATGATATGTGTTTCATTTGTTGACAGTTTGGCATCAAAACAATGAACTGAAAAAAGAACTTAAAAACACTCTGTAAAACTTACATAATTAAACCATAAGACAACTTATAAAGAGGAAATTAACAAATGATAGAAATAAAATGTAAAAGAGATTTCACATATTATTTTTTCAGAAGTTCTGTGCCTGGCTATTCCTGAGACTACTTTTCTGTAGTGTGGTCCCTGCTCCAATCATCCAAAAGCTCTCTGGGCATCTATGTAATACTTGAGCATACTCTACAAGTCTGCTCAAATCAGCCTTGAGTGAGTCACAGTGGGTATTAGCTTGTTGCCCTCAAGCAGCTTAAGAAACTAATATTACTTTTCATGGCAAACTGGTAGCTATTTAACTTTAATTTTAAAGGCCAAACAAATACCATAGAGAGGATGAAAGAAAGCATAAACACTTTTAATTTTTAACAAAAACATCCAAGAATATGTGGACTATTGGAAATTTCAGTGGATCTGGATGGTGGTGCATGCCTTTTATCCCAGCACCAGAGAGGCAGAAACAGGTGGATCTCTGTTTGAGGCCAGCCTGGTCTACAAAGTGAGTTCCAAGACAGCCAGGACTTTTACCAAGAAGTCAATGATAATTAAATTGTAGGAAAAAAATTCTGGATATCCACTACAAGATGGCATTTTAAAAATATTTTTATTAGTTCAATTTGGGAACAGGCTTGTTTCACATATCAATCCCTTCTCCCTCTCCCTCTCCCTCCCTTCACCCCTCCTCCCCCACCCCCGATCTACCCAAGATGGCATTTTATGAACTGATTATGTATTCCATTTGTTTGATCTGTCTCCACTGATACTGAATTTCAGGAACAAAGACATATAACAAGTGTCGTATTACCCTGTTTTGTAAATAGATTGTTCAGAGATTTACAATGATGGATTTAAGCAGAGTGGATTTTACAAAATCAAACCTCTCCAGAGCCAGGCAAGCTTCTCTGTTTATTGTGACATGTCTGATGGAGGAGGATGGACTGTAATTCAGAGACGATCTGATGGCAGCGAGAACTTTAGCAGGTAACTGCTTTTACCAAGCAATTATTTAGAATAGCCAATGTGAGATTTGTGAATGAAGTCTTCTTATGCCTCAAATCTAGTAATATCTCAACTTTATGTTCTCATCTTCAAGTAAGAATATGAGAGTGAGCAAGCTAATCAAGAGAATATTGGAGATGAGAGAATGAGGAATGCCATAGGCGTTGCAGGTATCTATTTGTATTTTGCTAAAACTAACTTTCAACTTAAACTTTTTAGGGGTTGGAATGACTACGAAAATGGCTTTGGAAACTTTGTCCGAAGCAATGGTGAATATTGGCTGGGTAACAAAAACCTTAACCTACTGACTATGCAAGGTAAGTTTTGTGTTTGCATACAGGAGGCAGGAGGTCTTAGATTAAGTCCCCAGTGCTAAAAACAAACAAAGCCCTTGTAGTATTTCCCACTAAATCATAGGCCATAGAACAAATTCAGTATATATCATAATTTTTCAGGTGTAATGATACTTGCTGAGCCATAATTGCATTTTAAAAATGTTACTTAAAACAGGTATGAGAGGCAAAGAAACTAGGTTGGTAGGGAATATATATTTTCTCATGTATGTTTTCTATTCCTTGAAAGAAAATGTGTTGTCAAAATAATTTTTAAAGACTTGAGTGACTGGCAAATATATATATATATGTGTGTGTGTGTGTGTGTGTGTGTGTGTGTGTATGTATGTATGTATGTTTAAATGTGTATGTATATATTATAAATATGTATAGCTTATTACCACAATAATACCACGTGATAAGCCACTTCAAAACAGTAGTATTTTGGGACTAGAAAAATGAGTCAGAGTTCAAGAGTTCATATTGCTCATCCCACATCAGTTAGCTCACTGCTGCCTGTAACCACAACTCCAGGGGATCCAGTGCTCTCTTCTGGCCTCTGAAGGCACCCACACACATGGTGTTACTCACACAGAAACCCACATACGCACATAAAAAGAAATCTTGAGAACACAAAATAGATAATTTAACGTAAATTATGACCCTCTTTACAATTCTCTCTATACTTGTTCATGTGAATGTCTATAACTGGAGTTCAATATTTGCCTGAAATTTTATGTTCAATAACAATTTTCAATATTTTATTTTTCATAGCCTTTTGCTCCCATCTATCATCCTCCTTAGCTTACTTGTAGCCTAAGACTGCAGTCAGTTCCCTTGAGGTCTGGTACTCATTGTCTCATAAATCACAGTTGCACTGCCCAAGAAGACAAGAGATCACACTGGCAATACAAAGGCTTATTCATTCCAGCCAAGCTCAGGCAGCTACTGGTCAATCTATACTCAAAATAGTCAGTAAAGCACGAATTACCAGGGTCTTTGAGCCATAAGAGTGTTAGCTAGAGAGGTTGCATAACTCTGGAATGTCAGAGTTTCCCCTGTGATTAGTGTTGTTGAAATCTACCTAAGGCTTCCTTTCCCTCAACATAGAAATAATCCTAGTTTTAAGAGTATTTTTGCCGGACGGTGGTAGTGTATGCCTTTAGCCCCAGTACTTGGGAGGAAGAGGCAGGTGGATCTCTATGAGTTCTAAGCCAGCCTGGTCTACAGAATAAGTTCCAGGACAGGTCCCAAAGCTGAAACAAAAAGAGTGTTTTTGCCAAATATGTAATTTTTGCCAAATATGTAAGTTTATTATACTACTATGCCTCATTCTGTTTCTTTTGTATATTGGTATTTTTCTGGGTCATTGTTTAAGCAATGAAAATCCCATTATGTCATTCTAAGCATACACAATTCAAATGCATTTCTCAAGTTGTTTCTATTCATATATTTTTGCTTGGGTAGACATTTTCAACAAATCTGATTCCCCTTCATCGTTTCTTGTTTGGTGCTGAATGTTGAAACCAAGCCTTTGCACATGATAACCATGTGTTCAACCATGGATTTACATACCCACCCGTTTCACTTTCTCTTTCGGTGTTCAAGCTGGTTACTCTCAAGTAATATAGTGAAATGTACCTAGGGGCTGGAGAGGTGACTCAGTGGTTAAGAACGCTAGATGGTCTTCCAGAGGTCCTGAGTTCAATTCCCAACAACCCCATGATGGTTCAAAATCATGTGTAATGAGATCTGGTGCCCTCTTCTGGCCTACAGGGATACGTGCATACAGAACACTATATATACTAAACAAATAAATAAATCTAAAAGAAAAGACACATACCTATTAATTCCATGCCTTGCAACATATCATAGCTCAAACAAAAGAAATTGCCTGTCCTTATATTCTTCAGTTATGACAGCAGTTAAGGCTACTTACATTGGCTCTGAAAATAGCTTTATTCCTATTACCTAAGTTTCTTTTGGAACTGTCTGCATTAAAATTAATCTTGAAATTATCTCTAATTGCAAGTTTATTCATTTATTGACCAAAAATTTAGATAGTTTTCTTTTTTAAAATACGTATTATTGTCTCTCTACTAACATGTACTTTTGGGGATAAATAACATATCCTGTCCTACTGTGCCCATCATCCATCTTACAGGCTTGGCACATATGAGCTAAGTTGATGCTTTCACAGAGCTCCAACTGGAGAAAACCCCTCTCCACACTTGCTTCAGAAATGAGACTCCAGCATTCTCTTGCAAATGGCTTTGAATTTTGTTCCTAAGATCTATTCAATGCTCTTCTTTTTCTGCCCCTCTGCTGCTAAGCCAGGGGAAAAGGTAAAGAACAGCTTTTTCAATAAATGTAGACAGAGGTAGGATATACTTTGGACAAGGTACATCCAAGGCCCTTCACTGCATATCATTTGATGGAAATGGGAGATGGGGTGCCAACCATAGACTTGACTGAAGGGCTCTGATTATTTGGACTTGAAACTGCAAGGAATCTGAAACTCTAAACTCCACCTGCTTGTGGAGTTAATGTGGCATTTATTTTATTTTATTGTGGTATTTTATTGAACTAAATAGGAAGGTAAACTACAAGTTACCTAGTCATTTTATTTCTAATTTTCATTTTGAGAGAGACCCACTATGTATCCAGGCTAGCCCAGAACCTGCTATACCAACCAGGCTGGCCCAGAACTTGTCATAATCCTTCTGCTTCTGCCTCCCTAGTGATGGGAACATAAGTGTGTGCCACAACACCCATCTAATTTGTGACATTTAACAAGAGTTCTGCTTCAGGAGGAAGACCAGTCTGTCATTCACAAACAGGGACAGCAGAGAAAGGGAGAGGGGGTGACTTTATGTAGCAACTACTTCACTAATTTGTTTCACATAATTTTTTTATCACTTAGAATCTTAACAGTCATCATAATATCTCTTTTTATATTTAGAGATCAATATATATAATTTTAGCATGCATAGATAAGAATGTATGCATAAATAAATAAGAATGTATGCCAAATACATTAAGTTTGTTTTAAATATTTCCCCATTGGCAAGGAACTCCATAAAACCCTCATGACACAGAGTCACTGATGTCAGTGTGTTTTCAATAATAACCTCCTCCTATGTCATGGGGCATAAGGTAGAATTCTCTAGGTACTCCTCTACTCTCTCTCTCTGATACTCTCTTCCAGTGGTATCTGTTCTCCAGGCTTTGATGCTAGCCAAGGAAGGTTTTCATAAAAAAAATTCAGGATTCTTGTTTCTTCAAATGGTTCTTAGACAATTTGCTGGCTAATCTTTTATTCTACCACAAAAACCAACCAGGTTCATGTATAAGCAAGTGATGATGATTATATTATGAAATACAGCCCAGCTACTAGGGGTTATAAGGTGTTGGTAATAGTAATTATTCTTAAAAACTAGAATCTTATTGAAGTGAAGAAAAAAATAAAACTATTTTCATCCCCCCCCCACCCCCGAGGTTTTTGAAATAGGGTTTCTCTGTGCAGCCTTGGCTGTTCTGTAACTCACTCTACACACCAGGCTGGGTTTGAACTCAGTGCCTCTGCCTCCTCAGTGCTGGGATTAAAGGTGTGCATCACCACCACCCAGCTAGATTTTTTTAGTCTATTAATTAAATAATAACATTTTCTGTTCTTTAAAAAGTGAATTGTAGCCGAGCAATGGTGCTGCACATCTTTAATCCCAGAATCAGGGAGGCTGAGGCAGGAGGATCTCTGTGGGTTTGAGGCCAACCTGGTCTACAGCCAGGGAGATACACAGAGAGACCCTGTCTTGAAAATCAAAAACAAACAAATAAACAAAAAAAGTGAATTGTACACTATTTTTAGATTTGTTTTTATTCTTTAGACAGAATTTTTCCACTTTACTATGTTACTGTCATTTTCAAGTAAAATAAACAATAAAATTCTCACATTGTATTACACTGGAGTCACTGTTTATTCATTGAAAACTGATTCTTGGTGGAGGAAATTGTAAAAGCAAAGTAAAACTGCTATTTATTTTTAACCTTAAAAGTCAATGTCGCCGGGCGTTGGTGGCACACACCTTTAATCCCAGCACTCGGGAGGCATTGGCAGGCAGATCTCTGTGAGTTCGAGGCCAGCCTGGTCTCCAGAGCGAGTGCCAGGATAGGATCCAAAGCTACACAGAGAAACCCTGTCTTGAAAAACCAAAAAAAAAAAAAAAAAGTCAATGTTCTGTCATATATTTAAACAACAACAACAATGGTTTCTTATTTGTTTCTGTTTTTGTTTTTGTTTTTGTTTTTTTGTTTTTGTTTTTTTTAGGAGACTATACTTTAAAAATTGACCTGACAGATTTTGAGAAAAACAGTCGCTTTGCACAATACAAACATTTTAAAGTTGGAGAGAAAAAGGTACTAAACATTTTATATAGGCAATGTCTTGGGTTAACACTAAAACTATACAAGGAAGCCTTGAAGTCTGTAGAAATAAAAATATATAATATAACCTGTGTTGTTTATTTTACATATTTTTCAAATGCTTCCCACTGATAGTGAAAATGCCCTTTTTTCTCCCCGCAGTCTTTTTATGAACTGAACATTGGAGAATACTCTGGAACAGCTGGGGACTCCCTTTCAGGGACTTTTCACCCTGAAGTGCAGTGGTGGGCTAGTCACCAAAGAATGAAGTTCAGCACATGGGACAGGGATAATGACAACTACAACGGGAACTGTGCCGAAGAGGAGCAGTCTGGCTGGTGGTTTAACAGGTTTGATGCTTTACACACACAGTTGTGAAGGCATTAATGATTTCTCACTGGCAGGCATTAATTATAACAAGTGAGGTAATGTTGACCTTATTTGTGTGGTGCTTTTGAGGACTTGTTCATTGTGTATATTAGTAAACTCTGAACAATATGCAACAGAAGCTGGTGTGATGTCACATTCTAGCAATCCCAGCACTTGGAGGCAGAGACAGGAGGATTACAAGTTCAAGGTTCTTCTAGTCTACATAGCGGCTTCAAGGCTAGCCTGGGACACTTAACAAGATCATCTCTCTCTCTCTCTCTCTCTCTCTCTCTCTCTCTCTCTCTCTCTCTCTCTCTCTCTCTCTCCTCTCTCACACACACACACACACACACACACACACCCCAAAAAGAAACAAAAATTTTCCAATAATATGTCTGCTTTTACAAGGATTTTTTTTGCAAACTGAATTACTATTGAGTTATAACAAGAAGGTCACAAATTGACATGAGGAAGTAGAGAGCATGCACATATTTATAGAGAGCCTAACTCACACCTGTCATCCTGGCACTTGGGAAAGTGAGGCCATCATGGGTTATTTGAGGTCTAGGCCTGTAGGACCATGTCTTAAAAAAAAAAAAAAAAAGCAACCAGGCTGTGGTGGCACACGCCTTCGATCCTAGCACGAGGGAGGCAGAGATAGGTGGATCTCTGTGAGTTCAAGACCAGCCTGGTCTACAAGAGCAAGTTCCAGGAGAGCCTACAAAGCAACAGAGAAATCCTGTCACAATAAATAAATAAATAAATAAATAAATAAATAAATAAATAAGTGCATCATGCATTGACATTAACTAGACCCAAAGTGATGTTTTGAATTTGCATGTTTTTATAATAAAGTTTATTTTTCTAAAAGAAATTTTAAAAAGAAAAGAAAGAAGGAATGGAGGAAGGAATTCGCAGCACTCCATCACCCACTAGCTTTTCATCCTCTCACCTCTCACAAGATAACCCCTGTCACTGCTGTAATTTTAGTACTCCTTTTCATTCATTGTGACTTTTATTAGTTTATTTCACTCAAGCATTCCCAATGTAAGAAAAATTGCTATAATACTCTTGACATTGAATCCTACCCCAACTGCTGTTTGAATACTTCAATATTAACCTCAAGCTCATTCTTTTGAGTGTGGAGAGGCTTGGGGGCTGGGTTCTGGGGATCAAATCCTGGGCCTTGGGGATGCTAGTCAAGCGTTCCACCACTGAGGTACACCCTAGCTTCATTTCATGTTTGATGATACAAAGGTCTTCATTTTGTGAACCTGAGATATGCTTCTTTTTTGTTGTTGTCCTCCCTGCCACACACACACACACACACACACACACACTTTTTTTGAGGCAGAAACTCATGTAGGCCAGGTTGGCCTCCAACTCACAGTACAGCTGAGAATGACTTTGGACCCCTGATACCACTACCTCCCAAATGCTGGAACTGAAGACCCGATATGTAGCACTCACTGTGGCTAGCTGAATCTGCCTTCTTGATTAGGTTTCCTTTCAGTAGCCATAGAGCAGCTGCAACGCCATTTCAGCAGAATTCTTTAGGCCTTGAATGAGAAGTAATGCATCGTATCATTTAGAGTTGTCTTGTCTCTGAACCAAACGTCCCTGGTTCCTTTAACTGTTTTCCAAGCTGCATTTTTTATTATTATTGTTGGATAATCCAGTTAAGAAGGGGATGGAAACTTTATGCAGTTTTTCTTTAAAATGATCCAGTTGGCCTGCTACATCTGCAGAGCAGGTGTGGGACAAAGAATGTTAGACAAAGCATCAGCTTTGGAAATTTTCTTTTTTCATTAGAAAACAGGAGCCACCTCAAAATGCCTGGACAATTAAACTTTCCATTAAGAAATCATTCCTGCTGGGTGGTGGTGGTGTGTGCCTTTAATCCCAGTACTTGGGAGACAGAGGCAGGTGGAGCTCTGCCAGTTTTGTCTAAATAGTGAGTTCCAGGACAGGCTCCAAAGCTACAGAGAATCCCTGTCTTGAAAACAAGCAACAAAATCTTTGGCAATTTTGGGATGTCATATTTTCCATATAACTGAACTATCCATGTAAATCCCATAATCTTTATATTTTTTCTTAGTGTAAATAAGGGATCTTAGAGTCTATATGCTATTGAGTGAATCTATTCTATTCATGCCAGAATTAGACTCTATATGCTATGAGTGGATCTATTCTATATATGCTAATATTACTTAAGAACATGAGAGCCTTCATTATAACATCGCTTGCTGTGATGTGTTGGATTTTAATTATTATTTTTTGGTTTGTTTATTTGAGACATAGTCTTACTATGCAGTGCAGTCTGCAATCTGTCCTCAAACTCATGCATGGCAATCCTCTTGCTTTAGCCTCCCAAGTGCTGGAATTACAGGCGGAAACAGCCATACCTGGCTGGTTTTAGAGTGTTAGATTTCAATGCACATACAATGAATTCAAGGTATTTCCATCAATTAAGGTAAATGTATGCGGTTGTAAAAAATATTAGGCTTCCTGCTGGGCTTTACTTTTCCAAAATCTCAGTCTACTTAACAGTTGGCCATTTATTAAGGAAATGGAGTACACACAACAGTGTGAAGGGATGGAGAAGGAAAATCATTAAATCATTTTCTCCAACTGTGCTAGCATGAAACATGGTGATAATCTTTTCCCTCTTAGCTTTCTTGTTCTTAAAAAAATTATTCCCTTTTCCTCCTCTTCCTTTTTTCTTCCTCTTCTTCTTGTAAGTAAGTATCACGTAAGCACTATTTAAGACTTACCTATAATTAACAATGTCACCTGTGAACATTCATTAATATCTGATTTTGAGCAGACTTAAAGAAATCACCCTTGATATTTCTGAGATCTAAAGGGTGTACATCATCCAGTTGTTTGGATTGTTTTACTCCTGAATAGCAATTGCACACATATTAAGGAAGGCAAATAATTGGTATAGGAGTTGGGGAGAACAAAAAAGACAATTCAGTAGCAGGAACTACCCAAGAAAAACAAGCCACCCTAGAGAGAAAGTAAATTGTTCCAGAAACCTAGTCTTAACTCTTTGTTTTCCTGTGTCACATTCTAATTTACTGGAATTGTTGGCACTTCTCAGTGTTTCTCACTACTGAGGCTGGAACTGCAACGCCCCTTACAGGTCTATGTATTTGTAGTCCAGCCCCACCCAGGCAGGAGCTCTCCGTTTCCTATTCATAGTCATCTAAAGATGCTTAACACCCTATGCTTTTTCCACCACAAAAGACTCTAACCCACGAGTCATGAGCCAATATCAGTTCTTCTTCCCTTAAGTTGTTTTGTGTGGTATTTAGTCACAGCCAAGGGAAAAATAACTAAAACACTCATTGCTGCCTCCCTTGCCTTTCAGGTCTTGTGCTTTATGTGTCATGTCCCCCACCCCCATCCCATCCATACACACAGCCCATCCCCCCACAGCATGATTTTACCTTGGAACACCAATCTTTAATAAATAGTGTCAAGTCCAGGCTAGAAACTTTTAGGATACTGGAACACTGGTCTCAGAATACTAAGTAGTAGACCTTACAACACATTTTTCAACTAGCTCCAAATCAGACCGAATGTAATAGTTTCTCTATGTAAAGATATTTATTCTAGGTATTAGGGGGTGTTTTCTTTTTAAATGTTACTTCTCGTGGTACTTTAAGAACACGGTGGATACTGAATCCCTACAGACTTAGCTTGCATGGTTTCAATTAGTCCCAACTATTTAAATTAGGAGGACTGCCAGGATGGTTAATGAGAGCAAATCACAACTTAGTGATCCAAGCCTGCTACTTTGCATTGATAAATGAAATATGTGCTTTTCTGATTCAATGATGTGGTTTTTTTATTTTCCAGAACTAGTTCTGAGTAGTCTTCTCATAGCCTCCAGTCTGATATCTTTTCATTAGTTACAGCAATAAATAATATATGGTGATTAGTATCGTAACAGGAAAATGACTACAAGCTGTTACATGAAATGTATGCATGCCAAAGACAGACTAGTGGGCAGACTCCAAAGGAGGAAGAAGGAAATGTTTAAATTTTACAATAACCTAACAGACCTATCTAGATTGTGCAGTATATGTAAAAAATTAACTTGGCAACTCAGACAAAAGATTATTTGCCGATAGCTAGCAAGTTTTTAAAAGGGGGGTTAGGTTCTTTTTGCTTATCTTGAAGATTCAAATAATTGATATGCTAACAATCAAAGAAGGGAATTTGGATCATGAAAGCCACTTGACTGTAGATTGGTGAACTTGGAAGCACAAACTCCCCAGGAAGCTGTAATAGAGCCACTTGCCCCCACTTCTTATTTTGCTAATCATGCCATCTTGGCCAACCAAGCATGAGGTTAACACTATCCAACTAGGAGGATGTAGGTGAAGGTAACAAAGCAATTTTTCTTTGCTTCTTTTTCTTTTTTGTTTAAATGTTTCTTAGTTAGGGTTTCTATTGCTGAGAAGAGACACCATGACCATGGCAATTCTTATAAAGGAAAACATTTAATTGAGGTGATGGCTTGCAGTTTCAGAGGTTTAGCCCATTATCATCATGGTGGGGAGTATGGTGGCATGGCAGACATGGTACTGGCTACATCTTGATAAGAAGGCAACAGGAAGTAGTCTCAGCTTCACACTGAGCAAGCTTGAGCAAAAGAAGACCTCCAAGCCCCACAGTGACACACTTCCTCCAACAAAGCCACATCTCCTAATAGTGCTACTCCCTATAGATTTATGGGGGCCAGTTACATCCAAACTATCAAAAAAGGCTACTAAGAACTGAAATGCACTAGGCAGTGGTGGCACATGTGTTTAATCCCAGCACTTGGGAGGCAGAGGCAAGCGGATCTCAGTGAGTTAGAGGCCAGCCTGGTCTACAGAATGAGTGCCAGGAGAGGCTCCAAAGATACACAGAGAAACCCTGTCTAGAGAAAAAAACAGAAAACAAAACAAACAAATAAATTTAAAAAACTGAAATGCTTATTTTTCAACACACGCCAAGTGGTCTGGGATGGATCCTCACGTTTACTGTGGGACCAAAACTCACCTGATTAAACGATAACATTTGTTTATATAAAGGTGTTAGGTTTGGGAAAATGATATTTTTCTGGGAAATGGCCGAAGTCATCCTCTAAAAGTTTTGATCATTTTTTAGCAAGATAAAGTTTCTGGCATGTACTTCCCTTCTAATTGTTCTGTTTTCTTCTGTTCTCCCACTAGGTGTCACTCCGCAAACCTGAATGGTGTGTACTATCAGGGCCCCTATACAGCAGAAACTGATAATGGGGTTGTCTGGTACACCTGGCATGGGTGGTGGTATTCTTTGAAATCTGTGGTTATGAAAATTAGGCCAAATGATTTTATTCCAAATATCATTTAGGTTTCCCCATTGGCCTCTTCTTTTGGCAGTTCATCTTGGTTTGAAATATTTGAGAAATACAATCCTGAATAAATATATTCATGGTGATGGCAATTGTGTGTGATTTTTCATTCTTCATACTGACTTTATTACTTAATGAACTTTAAGTTCCACCAAATAAATGTAGATTATGTTAGTGTTCACTGAGTTTTTATGGGCATAGGGGTATAAGAGTTCAAACTGTATAGAAAACAAACAGCATAGACTAACATAATTAAGTAATAACACAAGCCTAAATTTGTAATAATATATCATGTATGGCTGGGTATGATAATGCATGCCTTCAAACTTAGAACTTGGGGGGCAGAGTCAGGTGGATCTGAGTTTGAGGCCAGCTTGGTCTACAGAGTGAGTTCTAGGACAGTCAGGGCTACACAGAGAACCCCTGGCTCATAAAAACCATAATAAATAAATAATGTATGGTGCAACTGACAGAGCATGAGACAAAACACAACTAATGATGGATATTTTGGCCAAATCTACTGCACAGATAAGTATTACAAGTTGGGCTTTGAATTCAGGTCTCTGGCCACAGAGTTAAACTATTAACTATAATCCAGGTTCTTAAATAATATAAACACTATTTATGTCTTTGGGATATTTCTGTAGTTTACACCTTCCTTCATAGTCCTTAGTTTACACTTGATGCTAGTCGATAATGGAGAAGCAACCAGAGGTCTCATCTTCCTTTATGTGGTATCCCTGGGAAGGTACTACTATTGCCATCTAACTGACCTGGGAATTCCTGAGCTTTGGTTAATGCTTGAAGTTGTAAGATTAGTAAAGATGCAAAATCTCAGATCCAACTTTTGGTGCTAAGTGAAATTATTTGACACCATCCTGTGGCTCCTTTGGAATGAATCTCGATTGGTGTTTTTACCAGTGGATAACAGAAAGATCCTCCAAAAACTGTTTGCATGCCAACTCTGTGCCAGGTCCAGAAGATGCAGCTTGAGCCCAGTTAGGAGGGAAAGGCATACACCAATCATATACCCTAAGTATTTTTGCCACTGAGGCCACCATAGGCCAGTAAGCAAGATGGCAGCCTCCTGCTGGTGCCAAGAGAACCACTTTCATAATCTTACTGCCTCTGAATAATTTGGCATCTTCACCCTACTGGGCCTGTGCCAAGAATACCTGTCCACTCTGCACTGTGCCCTGTTCATTTTGTACATATCCAGCTAGCAGTGCTGTCCTTAACTCCCAGACTTGCCACATCTGTCAGAAACCTAACATGCAGACACACTGCAATAATCCTCAATACAGTGTCCCTCTTGGTCCAGCATCCCCACTGCCAGTCGGAACTGTAACATACAACCTGACATGAAAAGGCAAGAGAAACATGGTAAAGGCAGCCTTCTATCAGTTTCTCCACCTTCATTCTGGCCTCTGGCTAAGGAGGAAGCCTAATTATAGGAGAAATTACAGAAAAAAAAAATCAACTGCAAGAAAGAAACGCTTGGGAGTGGGTGTTCTGCAACAAGACCCATAGTAAATTTTTAGATGAAATGAAGATGACTTTTTGGAAGTGGGTAACTGACTTAATGATGATCTTTACTAGAGGTCTAACGCACCTGAAGGTGTAGTTCAGAACTCTCGCAGTTTCCAACTTGTAGAATGTGGATAATGTATACATGGTGTTGATGCAAAAGAGATGTGTGCTAAACTTGGTGTAAATTGTACCAAGTGATGGGTAAATGTAGGCTACTAACATTGTACTTATGAAGGTTTTAAACTTAATTGGAGTAAGAAGTTTCTGTCCACCCAATACTGCAGCCATTTAGTCCCAAATAAAACACAGAGGCTTATATTAATCATAAACTGTTTGGCCGATGGCTCAGGCTTCTTATTGGCTAGGTCTTTCTTAATTATTAACCCATTTCTATTAATCTGTGTATCTCCACATGGTCTTGGCTTATGGGTGATGCCCAGGTCTCTTGCTTCCTTGGCAGCTACATGGCGTCTCCTTGACCCTGCCTACTACCTTTCTCTATCCATGTTTGGATTTCCTGCCTGGCTAAATCCTGCCTGTCCATTGGCCAAAACAGCTTTATTCATCAACCAATAAGAGAAACATGTATTCACAGCATGAAGAAGGACATCCCCTATCACTTAATAGTGTAAATATTCCTAGAGTCAGTCACAAATCTAAGACTCAAAAGAGAAAGTATTTTCAAAAGCTGATAAGCAGAAAGTAGAAATGTGAGCCTTGATGGCTGTGTGATGTAAAGCAGGGTCCTGACCTAGTGGTGGTGGAGGTGGAGTGGCAATCAGAGATACTTCTTAGAAGTTTTGAGCTGAAACCTAAACTAGATATATTTGGGGAAATCATTCACAGGCTAAGGGAACCCTAATGCAAAACACATAAAACAAGGATATGAAGAGAAAAAAAGGTGAAGGTTAAAGGTAATATAGTTTACTGACCCTTAATTCCATATGTTATAGCAGGTTTACAGCCTCCACTCTACAGCACAGTGACCTTGGGTAGGCTGCTAACATCTCTAAGTCCTAGTTATCCCATCTATAAAACAGAATGTACCTCACAGGGTTGCTTATAGGGTTCTATGAGGGAAACAGCATAATATGATGCATGAGGTTGGCATTTAATAAGGGCTGATGGTGAGGATATCCAACGAAGTAGGCATTAAAGAACAATGCTTGATGCTTTTCAAAGATGTTAACATCATCCCATGTTATCCCCTAAACAGTGCTTCCCAAAGTGGCACTTCTTTGCCTTCAGTGCCGTCCAAATCATCAGGCCTCTTGTAGACATGTAAATTCTAATTCAGGGCAGGGATGAAAATTTGGGCTTTCCAATCCATGGTTGTACTCACCTATAATTCCAGTACTCAGGAGCTAGAGGCAGTAGGGTTATGGGTTTGAGACCAGCCTGGGCCACACAGTGAGATAGTGAATGCCAGCCTGGAACACATAAGGGAAATACTGTCTCGAACATTCTGAGTTTCTGACAAGCTTCCAGAAGCCACATGTGTTATTGTCCATGAATGAAGTTCTGAAAAATAAGAGTACAGGGAAACCATAGTTACTTGGAATGTTACAGTCTAGGTGCAGGAGAATAGGCCACTTAAACAAATTCAGGCGACATAAGAACACTCAACAGACCAGCCACACTGAACCTATTAGAAGATAAAGTGGGAAATACCCTTGAATTAATTGGTACAGGAGACCAATTCCTGAACATTACACTAGCAGCACAGACACTGAGATCAACAATTGATAAATGGGACCTCCTGAAACTGAGAAGCTTCTGTAAGGCAAAGGAGACAGTCAGCAATACAAAACGGCAACCCACAGCCTGAGAAAAGATATTCACCAACCCCACATCTGACAGAGGGCTGATCTCCAAAATATACAAAGAACTCCAAAACAACAAACAATCCAATTAAAAAGTGGGGTACAGAACTAAATAGACAATTCTCAATAGAGGAATTTAAGATAGCTGAAAGACACATAAGAAAGTGTTCAACATCCTTAGCCCTCAGGGAAATGCAAATCAAAACAATTCTGAGATACCATCTTACTCCTGTCAGAATGGCTAAAAT